CCAGGCTGGGTGCGAACCAACAGACTTTCAGTTAGTAGTGTAGAACTACGGTTAGTGTGTACCACCCAGGGCCATTCTTAGTCAACAGGGTCATAGAAATACAACCAAGCTTGTTAATGAGGATTTTACATTTCACCCAGTGGAAATCAGATATGGAGATGTCTTTCCAACTACACTGTTGTGAAAACAAACACAAGCTGGCCTTCCCCATTGTCCCAGTTGATGTATTATTGGACATTCCCAGTTTCCTCAGTTAACCATGGGGCCTGGGCTGGGAGGGATGTTCCCAGGCCTGTCAGTCAGCTCCATGGGCCGTGTGGTGAGATAGGATGTTGGGAAGAGGTGGCCTGTGTCCTTCCTCCTGTGACTGTGGACACCACTGGACGATGAGGGGCCAGAGTGGGGATGGGGACAGAGAGGTGGGCTGTGCAGCCATGGCACCACCACTAGGAGACTGTCCTGGACCAAACTCAGCTTCAGGAGAGTGGCCACTGCCAGGGACTGACCCTCCTCCCCCCAACAGCCAGGACCCAGAATGCCGATGCCAAGGTCGTGGAAAAATGCAACCAGGTCCTCAAGTCCCTGCACCTGCAGAACCAGTTCACCCTGGACTTCACCCAGAAGGAAGGTCAGTGCCCGAGCCGTGACCCTCAGTCCTGGTTTAGCTCATTAGCTCCTCACTAAGAAAGTAACGGGGAACCAATTCCCTGATGGCGTTTTCCCCTGAAGAACCATCTTTCTCCTGGGTCTCCTGCTTCCCTGTGCACCACGAGGCCCCTGGGTAGTGGGTGTGGGAATTGGGGGTTCCTGGGCTATTGGTCATGCCCTCTAGTCCTCCAGCACATTCTTTGTCTCTTTCCCCTACAGAGCAGTGCCGCATATAGGTGTGTGCAGCTGTTCCACCTCTTGAGGTAAGGTACCTGCCCACTCTCTTGACTGGGCAGTATGTGGGGGACAGTCCTCACCCCTCACCATGCTCCTGGGCCCACCCTGCAGCATCCTTCAGATTCTCCTGGCGATTCCAGAAAGCTGGACTGGCCAAGTAGTCCTATTAAGACCCCATTCCTCCCAGTGGGAGTGCTGGGAAGGAGGAGGGGAGGCTGTCTGGGGGAGCAGTTCCCTCCAAGCTGTGGCTGTTGCAAGTCCAGAGCTCTGCCTCACACAGGATGACCTCTCACCTCTGCTGGTCTGGGGCTGATGGGATTCACAGGCACAGGTCCCAAATCCCACAGTCACTGTGTCCCCCAGCCCCACAGTGTTCCAGGAGCTCAGCTTCTCTGCAGTGTGGGAGACATACACCCCATCCATCCTCACCAGAGCACCCCTTCTATCCACACATCTGCACAGCTGAAGACCAATGACATCCACTTCTGGGACCTGACTCCGCTGGGTCTCAGTGTGACTTCCTGTTCGGGGCAGTTTCTCCCCATAATAAATGACTCATGAACACTCTCCTCTGTGTCTGTCCTGAGGCCGGTGTGGTGGGGACGGGGATGAAGGAGCAGGTCAAGGATACACAACTTCTGTGCAACAGGCTCATGATATTTGGGGTCAGTCTGGGGTATACAGCAGCTGCCATTGAGTCAGCTCTGACTTTTGGCAGCCATGCATATATCATGGACCTGTGCTCCACAAGGCTTTCAACAGCTGGCCTTCCAGACACAGATCCCCAGGTCTTTCTTCCAAGGTGGACTCCAATCACCAAGCCTTTCTATTTACCAGCCAGGTGTGTTAGCACCTGAAAGGTATATATATCACCTTATGGCATGACTGGGGTTCTGGTGTGGGGCTGGGGGTTAATGCGCTGGACTGCAACGGTGGTTTGAGCCACATAGTTGGCTGCTCAAGCTCACCAGCCGCTCCTTGGAAACGCTATACAAGGTCGCTGTGAGTCAGAACGGACTTGCCAGCACTTAACAACCACCACCTCATAGCCAGTTAACCAGCAGGTGTCATAACTACACTCAACCACAAGGGGGCAAGAAAGTACAATTCTAGCAGGAAGAGCGGCTTCAAACAGCACTTGAAACCCCTACACCTAGATTTCAGGACAAGAGACTGGGAGAGGGCAAGGTTATGCCCTGTCTTCACTCCTATTCACCATCACATGGGAAGTCCCAACCAGTATGGAAAGCCCATAAACAGAAAGGAAAGACAGATATTCAGTATAAACTCCAAAGGGGTCTCAGCTGCCAGCCTACAACACCCAATACTCAGCTCTAGGGCTCAGAGCAAAGAGTAAAGCCTTAAATATTGGTACACAGGAGGAGGGGAGACTTGCTTCCTGGAATGGAGGGCCACTTGGGGGTTTGTTTTGTTTTGTTTTAATGTTTTATTGTGAATTATGTGATAGTTTACATGGGAGAACATTAGTTTTACATTCATCTTATCGTATATCATTTCATTGCCATGGTTACAATCCCCTCCATACATCATCAATCAACCAAGAGGTATATCCTACAAGCCTGTGCCCCCCACACCACCACACCCCCTCCTGGTCGTCAGCACACAGCCCCTCTCCCTCTCTGGGTCTAAAGTCCCCAGCTGCTCCATCGCTCCACGTCATCGTCTCTGCCTCCATCTCAGGCATCACTGCTTCTCTGGGTAGGGTCCCTCTCTCCGTTCTTCTCCCTTGATGGTTCCAGGGACCTCTGCTCCTAGACTGCAAAGTCAATCACCCCACTCCTTGCTACAAAACGTCTACCTTTATATGTACAGTCCTCACAATCAATACAATAACAATTATTCACTATTGTATCACAAGAGACCCATCCGCATTTCCTTTCATCAGCCCCGCCTAGACAGATTGGATACTACTCAGTGGAGACTCTACCTTCCTCCATGCCCTCTGGATCTAGGTTCCCTCTTGAAAGCTTGTTAACCAGTCACTTCTTGCCTTTGTAGCTGCCCTCCCCCTCCATTTTGGGTAGCCAATGTCCAAGTTGCCCAACCCTGTGTAAGGAGCAGGTGGGAATGATCCTTGCTATAAAGATTTGTTCCCTCTTTTGAGCTACTGCACCCATAGGTGTAGGTCAAGTTCATCAAATTGTATCAGATCACACTTTTTCCCTCTTCTTTCTTCTTCTAGTTGAGCTCTGATCATCCAATTATTGAAGCCAGGTCAAGTGGGTATTATCTGAAAGTGTGGGCGCTCTTGCGCTTGCGGTTTTAAGAGGAAAGAAATCAGGACTGTGGCACTTTTGGTAAGGCAGTATTGTTTTCCATTCCAGGGTCATTGTGTCCACGATATAGTGACCATTTCAACCATTCATCTTTGCTGATTTTTGCCTTTGTTCTCAGGGAGGAAAATTATCCCCCCTCATGTGGGTCAGAAGCTCAGCTTTGAGGATGAAAACCAATGGTTCGCTTTGGAATGCAGTTAGGGAGGAGGTTGCATTTTAGCTCTAGCCACCGCTTTGAGAAGGCTGCTCAAGTTCCATTTTACTTGAGGATAAGTCGAAATTTCCTCAGTGCCTCTGTTTCACTAAAGAAGGAAGAAAGGAAACTTTCTTTATTCACAGATGAGGAAATTGTTAATTTCCAGAGAACTTTCCCCCAAGAAAGTCCTAGAACTAGAGAGCGAGTCAGCAAGTTTGCAAAAGCCAAGTCCACCATAGGAGCACCAGTTGTATTTGTCTACAGCAGCGGGGAAGGCTGGATACTGAATGCCCACCCCCTCCACAAGATGCTGACACCTTAGTCCCTGGAGCTTGGAAATGTCCCCTTACATGGGTAAAGGGACTTTGCAGATGGGAGCAAGTTAGGAATCTGGGGCTGGGAAACTGTCTTGGGTTATCCAGGTAGATGCTCAGTGTAACCACAGGGGTCCTTATTAAAGGCAGGTTAGAAGGTCAAAGGCAAAAGAAGGCTTTGTGACAACAGATGCAGAGATTGGAGCCATGAGGTCAGTAGCTAAGGATTTCTGGGAGAGATGGGTGTGATCCTCACCTGAGCCTCCAGAAGGGGCCATACCTGCGCACAGCTTGGCTTTAACTCCTTATTATTTACTTGGAGCTCTGACCACAAGTAAAATGAAATTAAAAAAATATTTTTAAATATTAACTTCATTTCTCAACATTAATTGTTATTAGGTGCCTTTCAGTCATTTCTGACGCATAGAGACTGAGCCTACACACAACAGAACGAAACATTGTTGTAGTTGGTGCTGTTCTCACAGCTGTTGTTACCCATGAGCCATCAGTGCTGCTACTGTGTTGGTCCATGTCGTTGAGGGTCTTCCTCTTTATTACTGACCTCTGCTTGACCAAGAATCATGTCCTTCTCCAGGGACTGGTTCCTCATAACAACATGTCCAAAATCTGAGACAAAGTCTTGCCATCCTTGCTTCTAAAGAATGTTCAAGCCGTACGTCTTCCATGATAGATTTGTTTGTTTTCCTGGTAGTTCACGGCACTTTTAATATATATGTATATTTTGTCCACACCATAATTCAAATGCATCACTTCTTTTATGGTCTTTCTTATTCAATGTTCAACTTTCCCATGCAAATGACGTGACTGAAAATACCATGGCTGCATCGGGTGCACCTTACGCTCTCTAAGTGATATATTTGTTCTTGATCTTTGAACATTTTTAAGTGGACATTTGCAGCAGATTTGCATAATGCCATTCTTCCGATGATTTCTTGACTATTTCCATAAGCATTGATTGTGGATCCAAGCAAAGTGAAGTTATATTGACAATTTTAATCTTTTCTCTGTTTATCAGGATGTTATTTATTGGTCCTGTAGTGAGGATTTTTGTTTTCTTTACATTGAGATGTAACCCATACTGAAGGCTGTGCTCTTTGATCTTCATCTGAAAGTATTTCAAGTCCTCTTCACTTCCAGCAAGCAAGGTTGTATCATCAGCATATGGCAGATTCTTTTTTTTAAAAAAAGCTTTTTTAAATAGAGTGAGAGTTTACCAAAGAACATCAGTTTTACACTCATCTTATTGTATTTTGTCTCACTACAATGATGATCCTCTCTGTGCATCATCATTCAACAGTATTTGCCTCTATTCCCTCTTGGATTTTTGTGTTTTGTTGTTGTTGTTGTTTTGTGGGATGCACACCAAAACACTCAGGAATTTATAATCATTGAAACAACCCAAGGGTACATTCTGCAAGGCTGCCTCCTGGCCCCAGCACACAACCTTTCTCTTTCCATGAGTCTAGAGTCCTCAGCTGCTCTATTTCTCCATGTCCTCATCTCTGCCTCCATCTCTGGTGTCGCTGCTTCTCTGGATAGGGGCCTACATTCCGCTCATGCTCTTCTCCCTTGATGGTCTTAGGGTCCTCTGTCCTGGAATGTAAGATTACCCACTCCTCCCTTTTGGTTACAAAACTTTTACCTTTACAGCTGTGCTAATCACAATTAGTCATGATAACAATTACACCATCAGTATGGAGTCCTGATGTGGCACTGTGGGTTAATGCGCTGGACTGCAGAGACAGTTTGAACTACGAGGTCAGTGGCTCAAGCTAGCCAACAGTTCCTCGGAAACCTATATAGGGTTGCTAGGGGTCGGAACTGACTCAACAGCACTTAACAACAACATCCATAAGTATAGGTCAAGTTCATCAAATTGTAGCAATTTATACTTGTTTCCTTTATCAAAATTTTA